GAAAGAGAGAGCCTGTGGTGTTCTGGCCTGATGGTCCTACTAGGAGCGCTAGGTCCTGAGGTGCCGTCTCAGGAACAGCCACGAGGTGGCGCCAGGCTGCACAGGCCGCTCCAGGAAGTGCAGTTCAGCGCTGGCAGCTCCGGGTCCTAGTGATGCCAGGTTCTCCGCGACTAGCCCTCCACGGGGTTGCTGGGCACAGCACCCGCCTCCTTGAAACCTCACAAGGGTTTTGCCCCGGTGCAGGGATCCCAGCCTCAGGGTGCCTGGCCTGGCATCGCTGGTACTCCTCTGTTCCAGGTGCAGTTCGGAGGTCACAGCCTGGAGACTGGTGGGGCCTGCCGACTCAGCTGAGGGTCAGCACCCAGCAACTTCTCGTGCTGCTGGGGCGGTCGGGCCAGGGAGGGCCCCAAGGCAGGCCACCACGAGAAGCTCTGGGGACCCGGCTGCCCGAAGTTGTGCTGATGCTGCGGAGGGTCCCCGGGGTCGCCTCCTGGAAGATGGACGTGTTCGTAGAGCCGAGCACAGCCTGCCAGGTAGGCCACTGAGCCATGGATTGGATGCGGTGGAGGCTTGCTGTTCAAAAAACCTGGTCCTTTAAGATGCTAAAGCCACAGGAAGGATTTTAGTTTGAACAGGCCCTCTCTGCTGTGTTGATTATAGAGAGTCGAGGGCAAACAGGGAGATTAGTTAGAAAGTAGTTAAAATAATCCAGATAAGAGATGATGGTGCTTGGGATTCAAGACATAGCAGGAGAGGTAGTGAATTGTGGTAGAATTCTGGAGACACTCTTGGAAGTCTTAGCCAGCGGGGATGCATGAAAGATTGATTACAGAGAGAAACAAAGCAGAAGATGATGAATTGGGTATCTGGCCTGAGTATGTGAAAAGGTGAAACCACTTTACTGAGATTGAAAGATTACGAGGAGCATAGAGGAAGGGGCTAGTTTCGGAGGAATATACCTTTTGGACATGTTGAGATATCTTAGAGCAGTAGCTCTCAACCTTGGCTGCACATTAGAATCACCTGGGAATCTTTAAAATCCTGATTTCTGGGCCTCAGCCTCCAGAAATTCTGTTTCTTTGTTATGGTGTAGGGCCACAACATTAGTAACAAAGAATTTCCGGAGGATGAGGCCCAGAAATCAGGATTTTAAAAAGATTCCTAAGTGATTCTAATGTGCAGCCAAGGTTGAGAACCACTGTCTTAGAGACTCAGATGAAGAGTTTCAGTAGGCAGCTGTATATAAAATTCTAGAACTCAAGGAAGAGTCCAGAATGGGGATATATTAAGGGAGTTAACATGTAGATGACGTTGAAGGCCAGCTTGAGGATGAAAACACATCTGATGGCTCAACTCTGGGTCATCCCAACATTTAAAGGCTGAGAAGAGGTAGAAGCGCCAGCCAGGGAAGAAAACCAGAAAAAGAGTAGTGACCAGAAGCCAAATAGTGAGTGTTTGAAGAAGATGGGAGGGGTTGGCTGTGTGAAATGCTAATAGGCGA